TCTGGCTAACCTGAGATGACTTTTAAAAGATGGACATGTGAAGGACAGCAGGCGACTATGGCAAATATATTGGAATAAGAAAATGGACAAAATCAAATCAGTGCAATCAGAAAAGGTTAGAGAATGAAAAGGCCAATGATGTATTATTGTAGCAAGGGCAAAGGCTCATCTCAAGTTTTTTCGAATAGCTTAATACTAGGTTTTATCTTACAATTTGCAATCGTGGCACATTGGTTGCCATTAGTATAGTAAAACATACACAATTTAACAGAAAATATGTTTGTGTAAGTCGTACAGGGATTAGTGAAAACATAGGCAGGTTGCTCACCCATTAGACCTGCTCCCTACCACTTCATAGCAAACCTTAGATGTGTTAATGAGTTAGCTCCGGGATCAGGGGGTGTCTAACCACACCTGCAGGTTAGAAATCTCCAACTCGCGGCTGAGCCTCCATAGGGCTGGAAAGTCTCGTCCCAGAAGCACTTCCAGTTCTTTGCTCGGATACAAACAAACCACCAGGGGTTCGAAGAGGCGGTTTAATGGAATGGTGCAAAATGCTCTGCTTTGTTTTCGGCTGTAATCATCAAAGTTTACGCAACGCATGCTCATTTTTTAGGTTTCCCAAAGACCAACTGAAGCTGTGAGAAAAGCTATGCAGTTCTGATAAATCATTTTGTCTGGTTTTACAGACGGTTAACTTGAATATGTATTCAAGCTAACTTGTAGCTAATGCTACCCTGTAAATAGTGCGCGGCCGAGCCTTTAATTGTGGCTTGTATTTTATTCATTTGAGAGATAAAGGAGGAACAATGCATATTAAATAACATTTAACAAATGTTCAAATAAAACAGAAAACGGACAATCATAATGTTAGTATTAAATGAATAGGTAACCCAACTACATCATGTTATTTTTGACAGCACAGCAAAAAGGAAAAAGGCCCAATGTGAAGGTGCAATGAATGTGAAGTGGAGATGGAGCTAATGAAAAGATAGAAAACTGATCATACATTGGCTTATAACCAAATTGCAGCAAAGATAGCTTTGGGACAACATCTATTTATTTGCATGGGAATAGTGGTTCTATATTTTCTTTCTGAAAATATTACTGCGTATTTTCTGCAAAGCGCAGTTACGGGGACAGGTTAAAGAGTTATTTTGAGGAAGATGACCCTCGGCGCATGTGGAACGGTATTAAAGCCATCACATTGTGGAAACCTAGCGCTGGGAAAATTGCATCTGTCGGCCAAGCTCTGCCAAACGAGCTGAACACGTTCTACTGTCGCTTTGAATCCACTGATGCCTGTCCTACTGTATTCCCTGAGTGTTTCAATCAAGGTACCTTCACCGTGACTCAGGAGGAAGTCAGGCGTGTCTTGTCCAGGACCACAGTCCGGAAAGCCCCAGGCCCGGACGGCATCCCTCCTCGTGTCCTGAAACTGTGCTCTGAGCAACTTGCTCCTGTGCTAACAGACATTTTCAACCTGTCGCTAAGGAACTGTACTGTGCCGAACTGCTTTAAAGAGTCGACCATCATTCCAGTTCCTAAGAAAACTCCTGTGACATGCCTGAATGACTATCGTCCTGTGGCCCTCACGTCTGTTCTTATGAAAACTTTTGAGCGGCTTGTGCTGGACTTCATTAAGAGCCAGATCCCTGTGAGCGTTGACCCGCTCCAGTTTGCTTACAGACAGAACAGGAGTGTGGAAGATGCCATCTCCTTTGCTCTGAACTCTGTCTACAGTCACTTGGACACTAGTAAATCTGTCGCGAGAATGCTTTTCATCGATTATAGCTCTGCTTTTAACTGCCTTGTCCCAGGTAAACTGATTGAAAAGCTCATGTCTCTCGGTTTAAGTGTTGCCATGTGTAAATGGATTTTTAGCTTTTTAACTGACAGATCTCAGAGAGTGAAAATCAATGACTGTTTTTCTGATGTTGTTTCTGTGAGCACTGGTTCTCCTCAGGGATGTATTTTGAGTTCTTTGCTTTTTACTTTGTACACTCACGATTGTGTGTCCTCCTCTGACTCAAACTTGATCATCAAATATGCTGATGACACCACCATCATCGGTCTCATCAGTGACAATGATGAATCCTCTTATAGAGCAGAGATACAAAATGTGGTTCAGTGGAGTAAAACTAACAACCTCCAGTTGAACGCATCGAAAACATGTGAACTGGTCTACGACTTCAGTCGCAATAGTTCTCATTTGCCTGTCGTAATCGACAACTCCCAGGTGCAGATCATAGATGAGTGCAAGTTTCTGGGTTTAACTCTGTCTAACAACCTGAAATGGGTTGTGAGCTTCCTGTTCTGGAGGTTCTTTATAAATCCAGACTTTTAAACAAAGCTCTTAGGATTGTCAATGACTCTTCTGGCCACCCTGGGAAAGCCATGTTCCAGCTTCTTCCCTCTGGCAGAAGATATCGCTCTCTGAGATGCAGGACATCTCGTTACGCTAACAGTTTTTATCCACAAGCTGTTATCAGTGTGAACAGAGCACTTTAATGATTTGCACTTGTTTTGAAACTGTTTTAGTCGATCGATTTCACAGTGACATTTGTTTACTGTTTTTTATTTGTTTTATTTTTGTTTTTTAATTTTGTTTTTATGTCTGTATTTTGTCTGTGCACACTGGTGACTTTTGCTAATGTATTCCAATGTGGTGTTTTTACTGCAAATGGCAAATAAAATGAATCTGAATCTGAATCTGATGCATAATAGTGGATTAAAAAACTATGAGTTCGAACATGGCCCTGCACCTTTCTCATATCCCCGTCATATAGAAACTTCAGGACATGGCCAGAGTTCACAGCTAATTCAACACTCAATAAAAACCACGCTTGGACATAAATTAACTCATCAGTAACTTCCTACGGACTTTATGGTGCTCAACCCACAACAGTTATTGTCTACAACCTTTGGACTAACACCCCTGGATTATTGATAATTGATGATTATTGTTTTTTTTTTTTTTTGCTACCAGTATTCAGTATTCACTGTACATATTTGTTTATTGTTTTCACCTTTTTTTTGCTCAAGAGCACTTAACAAAAAGGTCAGTTTGAAGTGATGCCATTAATCTGAAGCCTATCCTTCAGCAGCCGACTCTAGGCTCTTCTGCTCAATAGCCCAATACCATTACACTTATCTAATTTATTATATCTAATTTATTGAATTTTAATAACAAGGCAGTTGTCACAAGTATACCTCTGATAATCCTTTTTGCTCATGTTAATCTTTTCGGATGAAATAAAGCTGCAGGTATTGGAGTGAGCTCAAGGCCTGTTTGTTAAATCCTAGTTTGATATAGTGTCATGTTCAAGAGCCTCATGAAGAGCCCTCTGTTTGAGCCTAGTTTAGTCACAGGGGAACTATGGAAAGATCACGCTCATCACTACAAAATAAGCTGCTGCAACCATTTCTCACTTCTAAGCATACACATAAGCCTAACCTACAGGCATGTGACCACAGAGATGGTGTATGCGTATGTTTAGCTTGAATTTTGTGTTTTAAGTAATGTTTGTTTATATAGCACACTTTTACCAAGGCTACCCAAATCACTTTACAATGTTCAGAGTTCAGATATTGTTCCATTCTCTGAAACAAGACGCCGAACACAATCAACACCACTCACTCGTTACATTGATACCTATTGTGCATGTTTTTTGTTGCATAACTTGACCTTATATTAATCAGATATATTATGGCCTGCGAGAGTGTACCTTTGCTGGAGTTTCTCATAGTTTACAGCAAAAAAGATAGCTAGTAAATTTCTTCTATCATATACGTTATACAAACAACTTTAAATCGCTATAAATCCGAATAATTTTTTGAAATGTGTGACAGCCCTAAGTATATACACCACCGTTCAAAAGTTTGGGGTCACCCAAGTGTTTTCCATGAAAAGTCACACTTATTCACAACCATATGTTGTGAAATGAATAGAAAATAGAGTCAAGACATTGACAAGGTTCAAAATAATGATTTTTATTTGAAATAAGATTTATTTTACATCTAACTTTGCTTTCGTCAAATAATCCTCCATTTGCAGCAAATAACTGCAAAAGGGAGGGGCGAGAGGAGCGAGAAAAGGGAGGAGCGAGAAAAGAGAGGTGCGAGAAAAGAGAGGAGAGAGAGGAGCGAGAAAAGAGAGGGGCGAGAGGAGCGAGAAGAGAGAAGAGGGAGAAGAGAGAGGTGCGAGAGGAGCGAGAAGAGAGAGGAGCGAGAAGAGAGAGGAGCGAGAAGAGAGAGGAGCGAGAAGAGAGAGGAGCGAGAAGAGAGATGAGCGAGAAGAGAGAGTAACGAGAGGCACGAAAGGAGTGAGAGGAGCGAAAGGAGCGATAAGAGAGAGGTGCGATAAAAGAGAGGAGCGACAAGAGAGGAGCGAGAAGAGAGAGGGGCGAGAAGAGAGAGGAGCGAGAAGAGAGGAGCGAGAGGTGCGAGAAGAGAGAGGAGCGAGAGGAGCGAGAGGAGAGAGGAGCGAGAAAAGAGAGGAGCGAGAAAAGGGAGGTGCGAGAAAAGGGAGGAGCGAGAAAAGGGAGGAGCGAGAGGAGCGAAAAGAGAGAGGAGCGAGAAGAGAGAGGAGCAAGAGGAGCGAGAAGAGAGAGGTGCGAGAGGAGCGAGAAGAGAGAGGTGCGAGAGGAGCGAGAAGAGAGAGGTGCGAGAGGCGCGAGAAGAGAGAGGAGCGAGAGGGGCGAGAAGAGAGAGGAGCGAGAGGAGCGAGAAGAGAGAGGAGCAAGAGGAGCGAGAAGAGAGAGGAGCGAGAGGAGCGAGAAGAGAGAGGTGCGAGAGGAGCGAGAAGAGAGAGGAGCGAGAAGAGAGAGGAGCGAGAAGAGAGAGGAGCGAGAAGAGAGAGGTGCGAGAAGAGAGAGGAGCGAGAAGAGAGAGGAGCGAGAAGAGAGATGAGCGAGAAGAGAGAGTAACGAGAGGAACGAAAGGAGTGAGAGGAGCTCCTCTCTTTTCTCGCTCCTCTCTCTTCTCGCTCCTCTCTCTTCTCACTCCTCTCGCTCCTCTCTCTTTTCTCTCCTCTCTCTTCTCGCCCCTCTCTTTTCTCGCTCTTCTCGCCCTCCCTTTTCTCGCTCCTCCCTTTTCTCGCGCCTCTCGCTCCTCCCTTTTCTCGCACCTCCCTTTTCTCGCTCCTCTCTTTTCTCGCTCCTCTCTTTTCTCGTTCCTCTCTTTTCTCGCTCCTCCCGCTCCTCTCTTTTCTCGCTCCTCTCGCTCCCCCCTATACTTGCTCCTCTCTCTTTTTGCTCTTCTCTCTTCTCACTCCTCTCGCTCCTCTCTCTTTTCTCTCCTCTCTCTTCTCGCTCCTCTCTTTTCTCGCTCTTCTCGCCCTCCCTTTTTTCGCTCCTCCCTTTTCTCGCACCTCTCTTTTCTCGCTCCTCTCTTTTCTCGCTCCTCTCGCTCCTCCCTTTTCTTGCTCCTCTCGCTCCTCCCTGTTCTCGCTCTCTTCTCGCTCCTCTCGCTCCTCTCTCTTCTCGCTCATCTCTCTCCTCTCTTCTCGCTCCTCTCTCGTCTCGCACCTCTCTCTTCTCGCCCTTCTCGCGCCTCTCTCTCCTCTCTTTTCTCGCCCCTCTCTTTTCTCGCTCCTCTCTCCTCTCTTCCCTCTTCTCCTCTGTTTTCTCGCTCCTCTCTTTTCTCGCTCTTCTCGCCCTCCCTTTTCTCGCTCCTCCCTTTTCTCGCTCCTCTCGCTCCTCCCTTTTCTCGCACCTCCCTTTTCTCGCTCCTCTCTTTTCTCGCTCCTCTCTTTTCTCGTTCCTCTCTTTTCTCACTCCTCCCGCTCCTCTCTTTTCTCGCTCCTCTCGCTCCCCCCTATACTTGCTCCTCTCTCTTTTTGCTCTTCTCTCTTCTCACTCCTCTCGCTCCTCTCTCTTTTCTCTCCTCTCTCTTCTCGCTCCTCTCTTTTCTCGCTCTTCTCGCCCTCCCTTTTTTCGCTCCTCCCTTTTCTCGCTCCTCTCTTTTCTCGCTCCTCTCTTTTCTCGCTCCTCTCGCTCCTCCCTTTTCTTGCTCCTCTCGCTCCTCCCTGTTCTCGCTCTCTTCTCGCTCCTCTCGCTCCTCTCTCTTCTCGCTCATCTCTCTCCTCTCTTCTCGCTCCTCTCTCGTCTCGCACCTCTCTCTTCTCGCCCTTCTCGCTCCTCTCTCTCCTCTCTTTTCTCGCCCCTCTCTTTTCTCGCTCCTCTCTCCTCTCTTCTCTCTTCTCCTCTGTTTTCTCGCTCCTCTCTTTTCTCGCTCCTCTCTCTTCTCGCTCCTCGCTCTCCTCGCTCCTCTCTTTTCTCGATCCTCTCTTTTCTCGCTCCTCTCGCTCCTCTCTTTTCTCGATCCTCTCTTTTCTCGCTCCTCTCTTTTCTCGCACCTCTCTTTTCTCGCTCCTCTCGCTACTCTCTTTTCGCGCTCCTCCCTTTTCTCGCTCCTTTCGCTCCTCCCTTTTCTCGCTCCTGCCTTTTCTCGCTCGTCTCTTTTCTCGCCCCTCTCACTTCTCGCCCCTCTCGCTCCTCTCTCTTCTCGCTCCTCTCTCTTCTCGCTCCTCTCTCTTCTCGCACCTCTCTCCTCTCTCTTCTCGCTCCTCTCTCTTTTCGCTCCTCTCTGTTCTCGCTCTTCTCGCTCTCCCTTTTCTCGCTCCTCTCTTTTCTCGCTCCTCCCGTTTCTTGCGCCTCCTTTTTCTCGCTCCTCCCTTTTCTCACTCCTCTCTTTTCTCGATACTCTCGCTCCTCCCTTTTCTTGCTCCTCTCGCACCTCCCTTTTCTCGCTCCTCTCTTTTCTCGCTCCTCTCTTTTCTCGCGCCTCCCTTTTCTCGCACCTCTCTTTTCTCGCTCCTCTCTTTTCTCGCTCCTCTCGCTCCTCCCTTTTCTTGCTCCTCTCGCACCTCCCTGTTCTCGCTCTCTTCTCGCGCCTCTCGCTCCTCTCTCTTCTCGCTCATCTCTCTCCTCTCTTCTCGCTCCTCTCTCGTCTCGCACCTCTCTCTTCTCGCCCTTCTCGCTCCTCTCTCTCCTCTCTTTTCTCGCCCCTCTCTTTTCTCGCTCCTCTCTCCTCTCCTCTCTCTTCTCCTCTGTTTTCTCGCTCCTCTCTTTTCTCGCTCCTCTCTCTTCTCGCTCCTCTCTTTTCTCGATACTCTCGCTCCTCCCTTTTCTTGCTCCTCTCGCACCTCCCTTTTCTCGCTCCTCTCTTTTCTCACTCCTCTCTTTTCTCGCTCCTCTCTCTTCTCGCTCCTCTCTCTTCTCGCTCCTCTCTCTTCTTGCTCCTCTCTCTCCTCTCTCTTTTCGCTCCTCTCTCTTCTCACTCCTCTCGCTCCTTTTTCTTTTCTCTCCTCTCTCTTCTCGCTCCTCTCTTTTCTCGCTCTTCTCGCCCTCCCTTTTCTCGCTCCGCCCTTTTCTCACACCTCCCTTTTCTTCGCTCATCTCTTTTCTCGCTCGTCTCTTTTCTCGATACTATCGCTCCTCCCTTTTCTTGTTCCTCTCGCTCCTCCCTTTTCTCGCTCCTCTCTTTTCTCGCTCCTCTCTCTTCTCGCTCCTCTCTCTTCTCGCTCCTCTCTCTCCTCTCTCTTTTCGCTCCTCTCTCTTCTCGCTCTTCTCGCCCTCCCTTTTCTCGCTCCTCCCTTTTCTCGCACCTCCCTTTTCTCGTTCCTCTTTTCTCTCCTCTCTCTTCTCGCTCCTCTCTTTTCTCGCTCTTCTTGCCCTCCCTTTTCTCGCTCCTCCCTTTTCTCGCACCTCCCTTTTCTCGCTTCTCTCTTTTCTCGCTCCTCTCTTTTCTCGCTCCTCCCGCTCCTCCCTTTTCTCGCGCCTCCCTTTTCTCGCTCCTCTCTTTTCTCTATCTTCTCTTTTCTTGCTCCACTCTTTTCTCGCAACTCTCGCTCCTCTCTTTTCTCGCTCTTCTCGCCCTCCCTTTTCTCGCTCCTCCCTTTTCTCGCACCTCCCTTTTCTCGCTTCTCTCTTTTCTCGCTCCTCTCTTTTCTCGCTCCTCCCGCTCCTCCCTTTTCTCGCGCCTCCCTTTTCTCGCTCCTCTCTTTTCTCTATCTTCTCTTTTCTTGCTCCACTCTTTTCTCGCAACTCTCGCTCCTCTCGCTCCTCACTTTTCTCGCTCCTCTCGCTCTCTTCTCGCTCCTCTCGCTCCTCTCTCTTCTCGCTCATCTCTCTCCTCTCTCTTCTCGCACCTCTCTCTTCTCGCCCTCCCTTTTCTCGCTCCTTCCTTTTCTCGCACCTCCCTTTTCTCGCTCCTCTCTTTTGTCGCGCCTCCCTTTTCTCGCTCCTCCCTTTCCTCGCTCCTCTCTCTCCTCTCTTTTCTCGCTCCTCTCTTTTCTCGCTCCTCTCACTCCTCCCTATTCTTGCTCCTCTCGCTCCTCCCTTTTCTCGCTCCTCTCGCTCCTCCCTTTTCTCGCACCTCCCTTTTCTTGCTCCTCTCTTTTCTCGCTCCTCTCGCTCCTCCCTTTTCTCGCTCCTCTCGCTCCTCCCTTTTCTCGCACCTCCCTTTTCTCACTCCTCTCTTTTCTCGCTCCTCTCGCTCCTTCCTTTTCTCGCTCCTCTCTTTTCTCGCACCTCTCTTTTCTCGTTCCTCTCTCTTCTCGCTCCTCTCTCTTCTCGTTCCTCTCTCTTCTCGCCCTCCCTTTTCTCACTCCTTTCTTTTCTCGCACCTCCCTTTTCTCGCTCCTCCCTTTCATCGCTCCTCTCTCTCCTCTCTTTTCTCGCTCCTCTCTTTTCTCGCTCCTCTCGCACCTCCCTTTTCTTGCTCCTCTCGCTCCTCCCTGTTCTCGCTCTCTTCTCGCTCCTCTCGCTCCTCTCTCTTCTCGCTCATCTCGCTCCTCTCTTCTCGCTCCTCTCTCGTCTCGCACCTCTCTCTTCTCGCCCTTCTCGCTCCTCTCTCTCCTCTCTTTTCTCGCCCCTCTCTTTTCTCGCTCCTCTCTCCTCTCCTCTCTCTTCTCCTCTGTTTTCTCGCTCCTCTGTTTTCTCGCTCCTCTCTCTTCTCGCTCCTCTCTTTTCTCGATACTCTCGCTCCTCCCTTTTCTTGCTCCTCTCGCACCTCCCTTTTCTCGCTCCTCTCTTTTCTCACTCCTCTCTTTTCTCGCTCCTCTCTCTTCTCGCTCCTCTCTCTTCTCGCTCCTCTCTCTTCTCGCTCCTCTCTCTCCTCTCTCTTTTCGCTCCTCTCTCTTTCTCACTCCTCTCGCTCCTTTCTCTTTTCTCTCCTCTCTCTTCTCGCTCCTCTCTTTTCTCGCCCTTCTCGCCCTCCCTTTTCTCGCTCCGCCCTTTTCTCACACCTCCCTTTTCTTGCTCCTCTCTTTTCTCGCTCCTCTCTTTTCTCGATACTATCGCGCCTCCCTATTCTTGTTCCTCTCGCTCCTCCCTTTTCTCGCTCCTCTCTTTTCTCGCTCCTCTCTCTTCTCGCTCCTCTCTCTTCTCGCTCCTCTCTCTCCTCTCTCTTTTCGCTACTCTCTCTTCTCGCTCTTCTCGCCCTCCCTTTTCCCGCTCCTCCCTTTTCTCGCACCTCCCTTTTCTCGTTCCTCTTTTCTCTCCTCTCTCATCTCTCTCCTCTCTTCTCGCTCCTCTCTCTTCTCGCACCTCTCTCTTCTCGCCCTCCCTTTTCTCGCTCCTTCCTTTTCTCGCACCTCCCTTTTCTCGCTCCTCTCTTTTGTCGCGCCTCCCTTTTCTCGCCCCTCCCTTTTCTCGCTCCTCTCGCTCCTCCCTTTTCTCGCACCTCCCTTTTCTTGCTCCTCTCTTTTCTCGCTCCTCTCGCTCCTCCCTTTTCTCGCTCCTCTCGCACCTCCCTTTTCTCGCACCTCCCTTTTCTCACTCCTCTCTTTTCTCGCTCCTCTCGCTCCTCCCTTTTCTCGCTCCTCTCTTTTCTCGCACCTCTCTTTTCTCGCTCCTCTCTCTTCTCGCTCCTCTCTCTTCTCGTTCCTCTCTCTTCTCGCCCTCCCTTTTCTCACTCCTTCTTTTTTCTCGCACCTCCCTTTTCTCGCTCCTCTCTTTTGTCGTCGCCCTCCCTTTTCTCGCTATTCTCTTTTCTCACTCCTCTCTTTTCTCGTTCCTCTTTTCTCGCTCCTCCCGCTCCTCTCTTTTCTCGCTCCTCTCGCTCCTCCCTATACTTGCTCCTCTCTCTTTTTGCTCTTCTCTCTTCTCACTCCTCTCGCTCCTCTCTCCTCTCTCTTCTCGCTCCTCTCTTTTCTCACTCTTCTCGCCCTCCCTTTTTTCGATCCTCCCTTTTCTCGCTCCTCTCTTTTCTCGCTCCTCTCTTTTCTCGCTCCTCTCGCTCCTCCCTTTTCTTGCTCCTCTCGCTCCTTCCTGTTCTCGCTCTCTTCTCGCTCCTCTCGCTCCTCTCTCTTCTCGCTCATCTCTCTCCTCTCTTCTCGCTCCTCTCTCGTCTCGCACCTCTCTCTTCTCGCCCTTCTCTCTCCTCTCTTTTCTCGCCCCTCTCTTTTCTCGCTCCTCTCTCCTCTCCTCTCTCTTCTCCTCTGTTTTCTCGCGCCTCTCTTTTCTCGCTCCTCTCTCTTCTCGCTCCTCGCTCTCCTCGCTCCTCTCTTTTCTCGCTCCTCTCGGTCCTCTCGCTCCTCTCTTTTCTCGATCCTCTCTTTTCTCGCTCCTCTCTCTCCTCTCTTCTCGCGCCTCTCTCTTCTCGCTCCTCTCGCACCTCTCTCTTCTCGCCCTTCTTTCTTCTCGCTCCTCTCTCTACTCACTCCTCTCTCTCCTCTCTTTTCTCGCTCCTCTCTTTTCTCGCCCCTCTGTCTTCTCGCTCCTCTCTCTTCACGCTCCACTCTCTTCTCGCTCCTCTCTCCTCTCGCACCTCTCTCTTCTCGCTCCTCTCGCTCATCTCTCTTCTCGCTCCTCTCACTCCTCTCTCTTCTCGCTCCTCTCGCACCTCTCTCTTCTTGCTCCTCTCGCACCTCTCTCTTCTCGCTCCTCTCTCTCCTCTCTTCTCGCTCCTCCCTCTTCTCGCTCCTCTCGCTCATCTCTCTTATCGCACCTCTCACTCCTCTCTCTTCTTGCTCCTCTCGCACCTCTCTCTTCTCGCTCCTCTCTCTCCTCTCTTCTCGCCCTTTTCTCTTCTCGCTCCTCCCTTTTCTCGCTCCTCTCTCTGCTCTTTTATCACTCCTCTCTCTCCTCTATTTTCTCGCTCCTCTCGCTCTTCTCTGTTCTCGCGCTTCTCTTTTCTCGCTCCTCTCTGTCCTCTCTTCTCGCTCCTCTCTCTTCTCGCTCCTCTCTCTTCTCGCTCCTCTCGCACCTCTCTTTTCTCGCTCCTCTCTTTTCTCACTCCTCTCACACCTCTCTTTTCTCGCTCCTCTCGCTCCTCTCGCTCCTCTCTTTTCTCACTCCTCTCTTTTCTCGCACCTCTCTCTCCTCTCATTTCTCGCTCCTCTCTTTTTTCGCCCCTCTCTTTTCTCTCACATCTCTTTTCTCGATCCTCTCGCTCCTCTCTCTTCTCGCTCCTCTGTTTTCTCGCACCTCTCTCTTCTCGCTCCTCTCTCTTTCCGCTCCTCTCGCTCATCTCTCTTCTCCCTCCTCTCGCTCCTCTCTGTTCTCGCTCGTCTTGCACCTCACTCTTCTCGCTCCTCTCTCTCCTCTCTTCTCGCTCCTCTCCCTTCTCGCTCCTCTCTTTTCTCGCACCTCTCTCTTCTCGCTTCTCTCGCTCCTCTCTCTTCTCGCTCCTCTCGCTCATCTCTCTTCTCGCTCCTCTCACTCATCTCTCTTCTCGCTCCTCTTGCACCTCTCTCTTCTCGCTCCTCTCTCCGCTCTTTTCTCGCGCCTCTCGCCACTCTCTTTTCTCGCCCCTCTCTTTTCTCGCTCCTCTCGCTCCTCTCTTTTCTCGCTCCTCTCTTTTCTCGCTCCTCTCTCTCCTCTCATTTCTCGCTCCTCTCTACGCTCATTTTCTCGCTCCTCTCTCCTCTCTCTTCTCGCTCCTCTCGCTCCTCTCTTTTCTCGCTCCTTTCTCTCTTCTCGCCCCTCTCGCTCCTCTCTTTTCTCGCTCCTCTCTTTTCTCGCACTTCTCTTTTCTCGCCCCTCTCTTTTCTCGACCCTCCCTTTTCTCACTCCTCTCTTTTCTCGCTCCTCTCTCTTCTCGCTCCTCTCTCTCCTCTCTTCTCGCTCCTCTCGCTCATCTCTCTTATCGCACCTCTCGCTCCTCTCTCTTCTCGCTCCTCTCGCACCTCTCTCTTCTCGCTCCTCTCTCTCCTCTCTTCTCGCCCTTTTCTCTTCTCGTTCCTCCCTTTTCTCGCTCCTCTCTCCGCTCTTTTATCACTCCTCTCTCTCCTCTATTTTCTCTCTCCTCTCGCCCCTCTCTGTTCTCGCGCTTCTCTTTTCTCGCTCCTCTCTGTCCTCTCTTCTTGCTCCTCTCTCTTCTCGCTCCTCTCTTTTCTCGCTCCTCTCTTTTCTCACTCCTCTCACACCTCTCTTTTCTCGCTCCTCTCGCTCCTCTCGCTCCTCTCTTTTCTCACTCCTCTCTTTTCTCGCTCCTCTCGCTCATCTCGCTCCTCTCGCTCATCTCTTTTCTCGCTCCTCTCTTTTCTCGCCCCTCTCTCTCCTCTCATTTCTCGCTCCTCTCTCTCTCCTCTCGCTCCTCTCTACGCTCTTTTCTCGCTCCTCTCTACGCTCATTTTCTCGCTCCTCTCTCCTCTCTCTTCTCGCTCCTCTCTTTTCTTGCTCCTTTCTCTCTTCTCGCCCCTCTCTTTTCTCGCTCCTCTCTTTTCTCGCAATTCTCTTTTCTCGCCCCTCCCTTTTCTCACTCCTCTCTTTTCTCGCGCCTCTCTTTTCTTGCTCCTTTCTCTCTTCTCGCCCCTCTCTTTTCTCGCTCCTCTCTTTTCTCGCAATTCTCTTTTCTCGCCCCTCTCTTTTCTCGCCCCTCCCTTTTCTCACTCCTCTCTTTTCTCGCTCCTCCCTTTTCTCGCTCCTCTCTTTTCTCGCTCCTCTCGCTCCTCTCTCCTCTCTTTTCTCGCACCTCCCTTTTCTCGCTCCTCTCTTTTCTTGCTCCTCTCTTTTCCCGCTCCTCCCGCTCCTCTCTTTTCTCGCAACTCTCTTTTCTCGCTCCTCGCTTTTCTCGCTTTTCTCGCTCCTCTCTTTTCTCGCTTCTCTCGCTCATCTCTCTTCTCGCTCCTCTTTCTTCTTGCTCCTCTCTCTTCTCGCACCTCTCTCTTCTCGCCCTTCTCTCTTTTCGCTCCTCTCTCTCCTCTCTTTTCTCGCGCCTCTCTTTTCTCGCCCCTCTCTTTTCTCGCTCCTCTCTCTTCTCCCTCCTTTCTCTTCTCGCTCCTCTCTCTTCTTGCCCCTCTCTCTTCTCGCTCCTCTCTCTTCTCGCTCCTCTCTTTTCTCGCACCTCTCTCTTCTCGCTCCTCTCTTTTCTCGCACCTCTCTCTTCTCGCTCCTCTCTCCTCTCGCTCTTCTCTCTTCTCACTCCTCTGGCTCCTCTCTCTTCTCGCCCTTCTCTCTTCTCGCCCTTCTCTCTTCTCGCTCCTCTCTCTTCTCGCTCCTCTCTCTCCTCTCTTTTCTCTCACATGTCTTTTCTCGATCCTCTCGCTCCTCTCTCTTCTCGCTACTCACTTTTCTCGCACCTCTCTCTTCTCGCTCCTCTCTCTTCTCGCTCCTCTCGCTCATCTCTCTTCTCCCTCCTCTCGCTCCTCTCTGTTCTCGCTCGTCTTGCACCTCTCTCTTCTCGCTCCTCTCTCTCCTCTCTTCTCGCTCCTCTCTCTTCTCGCTCCTCTCTTTTCTCGCACCTCTCTATTCTCGCTCCTCTCGCTCCTCTCTCTTCTCGCTCCTCTCGCTCATCTCTCTTCTCGCTCCTCTCTCTTCTCGCACCTCTCTCTTCTCGCCCTTCTCTCTTTTCGCTCCTCTCTCTCCTCTCTTTTCTCGCTCCTCTCTTTTCTCGCCCCTCTCTTTTCTCGCTCCTCTCTCTTCTCCCTCCTTTCTCTTCTCGCTCCTCTCTCTTCTTGCCCCTGTCTCTTCTCGCTCCTCTCTCTTCTCGCTCCTCTCTTTTCTCGCACCTCTCTCTTCTCGCTCCTCTCTCCTCTCGCTCTTCTCTCTTCTCACTCCTCTGGCTCCTCTCTCTTCTCGCCCTTCTCGCTCTTCTCTCTTCTCGCTCCTCTCTCTTCTCGCTCCTCTCTCTCCTCTCTTTTCTCTCACATGTCTTTTCTCGATCCTCTCGCTCCTCTCTCTTCTCGCTACTCACTTTTCTCGCACCTCTCTCTTCTCGCTCCTCTCTCTTCTCGCTCCTCTCGCTCATCTCTCTTCTCCCTCATCTCGCTCCTCTCTGTTCTCGCTCGTCTTGCACCTCTCTCTTCTCGCTCCTCTCTCTCCTCTCTTCTCGCTCCTCTCTCTTCTCGCTCCTCTCTTTTCTCGCACCTCTCTATTCTCGCTCCTCTCGCTCCTCTCTCTTCTCGCTCCTCTCGCTCATCTCTCTTCTCGCTCCTCTCACTCCTCTCTCTTCTCGCTCCTCTCGCACCTCTCTCTTCTCGCTCCTCTCTCCGCTCTTTTCTCGCTCCTCTCGCCACTCTCTTTTCTCGCTCCTCTCTTTTCTCGCTCCTCTCGCTCATCTCTTTTCTCGCTCCTCTCTTTTCTCGCTCCTCTCTCTTCTCCCTCCTTTCTCTTCTCGCTCCTCTCTCTTCTCGCCCCTCTCTCTTCTCGCTCCTCTCTCTTCTCGCACCTCTCTCTTCTCGCACCTCTCTCTTCTCGCTCTTCTCTCCTCTCGCTCTTCTCTCTTCTCACTCCTCTGGCTCCTCTCTCTTCTCGCTCTTCTCTCTTCTCGCCCTTCTCTCTTCTCGCTCCTCTCTCTTCTCGCTCCTCTCTCTCCTCTCTTTTCTCTCACATGTCTTTTCTCGATCCTCTCGCTCCTCTCTCTTCTCGCTACTCACTTTTCTCGCACCTCTCTCTTCTTGCTCCTCTCTCTTCTCGCTCCTCTCGCTCATCTCTCTTCTCCCTCCTCTCGCTCCTCTCTGTTCTCGCTCGTCTTGCACCTCTCTCTTCTCGCTCCTCTCTCTCCTCTCTTCTCGCTCCTCTCTCTTCTCGCACCTCTCTCTTCTCGCACCTCTCTATTCTCGCTCCTCTCGCTCCTCTCTCTTCTCGCTCCTCTCGCTCATCTCTCTTCTCGCTCCTCTCACTCCTCTCTCTTCTCGCTCCTCTCGCACCTCTCTCTTCTCGCTCCTCTCTCAGCTCTTTTCTCGCTCCTCTCGCCACTCTCTTTTCTCGCTCCTCTCTTTTCTCGCTCCTCTCGCTCATCTCTTTTCTCGCTCCTCTCTCTCCTCTCATTTCTCGCTCCTCTCTCTCTCCTCTCGCTCCTCTCTACGCTCTTTTCTCGCTCCTCTCTACGCTCATTTTCTCGCTCCTCTCTCCTCTCTCTTCTCGCTCCTCTCTTTTCTCGCTCCTTTCTCTCTTCTCGCCCCTCTCGCCCCTCTCTTTTCTCGCTCCTCTCTTTTCTCGCAATTCTCTTTTCTCGCCCCTCTCTTTTCTCGCCCCTCCCTTTTCTCACTCCTCTCTTTTCTCGCTTCTCTCGCTCATCTCTCTTCTCGCTCCGCTTTCTTCTTTCTCCTCTCTCTTCTCGCACCTCTCTCTTCTCGCCCTTCTCTCTTTTCTCTCCTCTCTCTCTCCTCTCTTTTCTCGCTCCTCTCTTTTCTCGCTCCTCTCTTTTCTCGCTCCTCTCTCTTCTCCCTCCTTTCTCTTCTCGCTCCTCTCTCTTCTCGCCCCTCTCTCTTCTCGCTCCTCTCTCTTCTCGCTCCTCTCTTTTCTCGCACCTCTCTCTTCTCGCTCCTCTCTCCTCTCGCTCTTCTCTCTTCTCACTCCTCTGGCTCCTCTCTCTTCTCGCCCTTCTCGCCCTTCTCTCTTCTCGCTCCTCTCTCTTCTCGCTCCTCTCTCTCCTCTCTTTTCTCTCACATGTCTTTTCTCGATCCTCTCGCTCCTCTCTCTTCTCGCTACTCACTTTTCTCGCACCTCTCTCTTCTCGCTCCTCTCTCTTCTCGCTCCTCTTGCTCATCTCTCTTCTCCCTCCTCTCGCTCCTCTCTGTTCTCGCTCGTCTTGCACCTCTCTCTTCTCGCTCCTCTCTCTCCTCTCTTCTCGCTCCTCTCTCTTCTCGCTCCTCTCTTTTCTCGCACCTCTCTATTCTCGCTCCTCTCGCTCCTCTCTCTTCTCGCTCCTCTCGCTCATCTCTCTTCTCGCTCCTCTCACTCCTCTCTCTTCTCGCTCCTCTCGCACCTCTCTCTTCTCGCTCCTCTCTCCGCTCTTTTCTCGCTCCTCTCGCCACTCTCTTTTCTCGCTCCTCTCTTTTCTCGCTCCTCTCGCTCATCTCTTTTCTCGCTCCTCTCTTTTCTCGCTCCTCTCTCTTCTCCCTCCTTTCTCTTCTCGCTCCTCTCTCTTCTCGCCCCTCTCTCTTCTCGCTCCTCTCTCTTCTCGCTCCTCTCTTTTCTCGCTCCTCTCTCTCTCTCGCTCTTCTCTCTTCTCACTCCTCTGGCTCCTCTCTCTTCTCGCCCTTCTCTCTTCTCGCCTTCTCTCTTCTCGCTCCTCTCTCTTCTCGCTCTCTCTTCTCTCTCTTTTCTCTCACATGTCTTTTCTCGATCCTCTCGCTCCTCTCTCTTCTCGCTACTCACTTTTCTCGCACCTCTCTCTTCTCGCTCCTCTCTCTTCTCGCTCCTCTCGCTCATCTCTCTCTCCCTCCTCCGCTCCTCTCTGTTCTCGCTCGTCTTGCACCTCTCTCTTCTCGCTCCTCCTCTCTCTTCTCGCCTCTCTCCTCGCTCTCTCTCTCTCTCTTCTCGCTCCTCTCTCTCTCTCTCTCTCTCTTCTCTCGCTCATCTCTCTTCTCGCTCCTCTCACTCTCTCTCTTCTCTCGCTCCTCTCGCACCTCTCTCTTCTCGCTCCTCTCTCCGCTCTTTTCTCGCTCCTCTCGCCACTCTCTTTTCTCGCTCCTCTCTTTTCTCGCTCCTCTCTCTCCTCTCATTTCTCGCTCCTCTCTCTCTCTCTCATTTCTCGCTCCTCTCTCTCTCTCTCTCGCTCCTCTCTACGCTCTTTTCTCGCTCCTCTCTACGCTCATTTTCTCGCTCCTCTCTCCTCTCTCTTCTCGCTCCTCTCTTTTCTCGCTCCTTTCTCTCTTCTCGCCCCTCTCGCCCCTCTCTTTTCTCGCTCCTCTCTTTTCTCGCAATTCTCTTTTCTCGCCCCTCTCTTTTCTCGCCCCTCCCTTTTCTCACTCCTCTCTTTTCTCGCTCCTCTCGCTCCTCTCTCTTCTCGCTCCTCTCTCCTCTCTTTTATCGCACCTCCCTTTTCTCGCTCCTCTCTTTTCTTGCTCCTCTCTTTTCCCGCTCCTCCCGCTCCTCTCTTTTCTCGCGCCTCCCTTTTCTCGCTCCTCTCTTTTCTCGATCCTCTCTTTTCTTGCTCCACTCTTTTCTCGCAACTCTCGCTCCTCTCTTTTCTCGCTCCTCGCTTTTCTCGCTCCTCCCTTTTCTCGCTCCTCTCTTTTCTCGCTTCTCTCGCTCATCTCTCTTCTCGCTCCTCTCGCTCTCTTCTAGCTCCTCTCGCTCCTCTCTCTTCTTGCTCCTCTCTCTTCTCGCACCTCTCTCTTCTCGCCCTTCTCTCTTTTCGCTCCTCTCTCTCCTCTCTTTTCTCGCTCCGCTCTTTTCTCGCCCCTCTCTTTTCTCGCTCCTCTCTCTTCTCCCTCCTTTCTCTTCTCGCTCCTCTCTCTTCTCGCCCCTCTCTCTTCTCGCCCTCTCTCTTCTCGCTCCTCCCTTTCATCGCTCCTCTCTCTCCTCTCTTTTCTCGCTCCTCTCTTTTCTCGCTCCTCTCGCTCCTCCCTTTTCTTGCTCCTCTCGCTCCTCCCTGTTCTCGCTCTCTTCTCGCTCCTCTCGCTCCTCTCGCTCCTCTCTCTTCTCGCTCATCTCTCTCCTCTCTTCTCGCTCGTCTCTCGTCTCGCACCTCTCTCTTCTCGCCCTTCTCGCTCCTATCTCTCCTCTCTTTTCTCGCCCCTCTCTTTTCTCGCTCCTCTCTCCTCTCCTCTCTCTTCTCCTCTGTTTTCTCGCTCCTCTCTTTTCTCGCTCCTCTCTCTTCTCGCTCCTCTCTTTTCTCGATACTCTCGCTCCTCCCTTTTCTTGCTGCTCTCGCACCTCCCTTTTCTCGCTCCTCTCTTTTCTCACTCCTCTCTTTTCTCGCTCCTCTCTCTTCTCGCTCCTCTCTCTTCTCGCTCCTCTCTCTTCTCGCTCCTCTCTCTCCTCTCTCTTTTCGCTCCTCTCTCTTCTCACTCCTCTCGCTCCTTTCTCTTTTCTCTCCTCTCTCTTCTCGCTCCTCTCTTTTCTCGCCCTTCTCGCCCTCCCTTTTCTCGCTCCGCCCTTTTCTCACACCTCCCTTTTCTTGCTCCTCTCTTTTCTCGCTCCTCTCTTTTCTCGATACTATCGCGCCTCCCTTTTCTTGTTCCTCTCGCTCCTCCCTTTTCTCGCTCCTCTCTTTTCTCGCTCCTCTCTCTTCTCGCTCCTCTCTCTTCTCGCTCCTCTCTCTCCTCTCTCTTTTCGCTCCTCTCTCTTCTCGCTCTTCTCGCCCTCCCTTTTCTCGCGCCTCCCTTTTCTCGCGCCTCCCTTTTCTCGTTCCTCTTTTCTCTCCTCTCTCTTCTCGCTCCTCTCTTTTCTCGCTCTTCTCGCCCTCCCTTTTCTCGCTCCTCCCTTTTCTCGCACCTCCCTTTTCTCGCTTCTCTCTTTTCTCGCTCCTCTCTTTTCTCGCTCCTCCCGCTCCTCCCTTTTCTCGCGCCTCCCTTTTCTCGCTCCTCTCTTTTCTCTATCTTCTCTTTTCTTACTCCACTCTTTTCTCGCAACTCTCGCTCCTCACTTTTCTCGTTCCTCTCGCTCTCTTCTCGCTCCTCTCGCTCCTCTCTCTTCTTGCTCATCTCTCTTCTCTCTTCTCGCTCCTCTCTCTTCTCGCACCTCTCTCTTCTCGCCCTCCCTTTTCTCGCTCCTTCCTTTTCTCGCACCTCCCTTTTCTCGCTCCTCTCTTTTGTCGCGCCTCCCTTTTCTCGCTCCTCCCTTTCCTTGCTCCTCTCTCTCCTCTCTTTTCTCGCTCCTCTCGCTCCTCCCTATTCTTGCTCCTCTCGCCCCTCCCTTTTCTCGCTCCTCTCGCTCCTCCCTTTTCTCGCACCTCCCTTTTCTTGCTCCTCTCTTTTCTCGCTCCTCTCGCTCCTCCCTTTTCTCGCTCCTCTCGCTCCTCCCTTTTCTCGCACCTCCCTTTTCTCACTCCTCTCTTTTCTCGCTCCTCTCGCTCCTCCCTTTTCTTGCTCCTCTCTTTTCTCGCACCTCTCTTTTCTCGCTCCTCTCTCTTCTCGCTCCTCTCTCTTCTCGTTCCTCTCTCTTCTCGCCCTCCCTTTTCTCACTCCTTCCTTTTCTCGCACCTCCCTTTTCTCGCTCCTCTCTTTTGTCGCGCCTCCCTTTTCTCGCTATTCTCTTTTCTCACTCCTCTCTTTTCTCGTTCCTCTTTTCTCGCTCCTCCCGCTCCTCTCTTTTCTCGCTCCTCTCGCTCCTCCCTATACTTGCTCCTCTCTCTTTTTGCTCTTCTCTCTTCTCACTCCTCTCGCGCCTCTCTCTTTTCTCTCCTCTCTCTTCTCGCTCCTCTCTTTTCTCGCTCTTCTCGCCCTCCCTTTTTTCGATCCTCCCTTTTCTCGCTCCTCTCTTTTCTCGCTCCTCTCTTTTCTCGCTCCTCTCTTTTCTCGCTCCTCTCGCTCCTCCCTTTTCTTGCTCCTCTCGCTCCTCTCTCTTCTCGCTCATCTCTCTCCTCTCTTCTCGCTCCTCTCTCGTCTCGCACCTCTCTCTTCTCGCCCTTCTCTCTCCTCTCTTTTCTCGCCCCTCTCTTTTCTCGCTCCTCTCTCCTCTCCTCTCTCTTCTCCTCTGTTTTCTCGCTCCTCTCTTTTCTCGCGCCTCTCTCTTCTCGCTCCTCGCTCCTCTCTTTTCTCGCTCCTCTCGGTCCTCTCGCTCCTCTCTTTTCTCGATCCTCTCTTTTCTCGCTCCTCTCTCTCCTCTCTTCTCGCGCCTCTCTCTTCTCGCTCCTCTCGCTGCTCTCGCACCTCTCTCTTCTCGCCCTTCTTTCTTCTCGCTCCTCTCTCTACTCGCTCCTCTCTCTCCTCTCTTTTCTCGCTCCTCTCTTTTCTCGCCCCTCTGTCTTCTCGCTCCTCTCTCTTCACGCTCCACTCTCTTCTCGCTCCTCTCTCCTCTCGCACCTCTCTCTTCTCGCTCCTCTCGCTCATCTCTCTTCTCGCTCCTCTCACGCCTCTCTCTTCTCGCTCCTCTCGCACCTCTCTCTTCTTGCTCCTCTCGCACCTCTCTCTTCTCGCTCCTCTCTCTCCTCTCTTCTCGCTCCTCCCTCTTCTCGCTCCTCTCGCTCATCTCTCTTATCGCACCTCTCACTCCTCTCTCTTCTTGCTCCTCTCGCACCTCTGTCTTCTCGCTCCTCTCTCTCCTCTCTTCTCGCCCTTTTCTCTTCTCGCTCCTCCCTTTTCTCGCTCCTCTCTCTGCTCTTTTATCACTCCTCTCTCTCCTCTATTTTCTCGCTCCTCTCGCTCTTCTCTGTTCTCGCGCTTCTCTTTTCTCGCTCCTCTCTGTCCTCTCTTCTCGCTCCTCTCTCTTCTCGCTCCTCTCTCTTCTCGCTCCTCTCGCACCTCTCTTTTCTCGCTCCTCTCTTTTCTCACTCCTCTCACACCTCTCTTTTCTCGCTCCTCTCGCTCCTCTCTTTTCTCACTCCTCTCTTTTCTCGCACCTCTCTCTCCTCTCATTTCTCGCTCCTCTCTTTTTTCGCCCCTCTCTTTTCTCTCACATCTCTTTTCTCGATCCTCTCGCTCCTCTCTCTTCTCGCTCCTCTGTTTTCTCGCACCTCTCTCTTCTCGCTCCTCTCTCTTTCCGCTCCTCTCGCTCATCTCTCTTCTCCCTCCTCTCGCTCCTCTCTGTTCTCGCTCATCTTGCACCTCACTCTTCTCGCTCCTCTCTCTCCTCTCTTCTCGCTCCTCTCCCTTCTCGCTCCTCTCTTTTCTCGCACCTCTCTCTTCTCGCTTCTCTCGCTCCTCTCTCTTCTCGCTCCTCTCGCTCATCTCTTTTCTCGCACCTCTCTCTTCTCGCTTCTCTCGCTCCTCTCTCTTCTCGCTCCTCTCTCTCCTCTCTTTTCTCGCCCCTCTGTCTTCTCGCTCCTCTCTCTTCTCGCCCCTCTCTCTTCTCTCTCTTCTCGCTCCTCTGTCTCCACTCTTTTCTCGCTCCTCTCTTTTCTAGCCCTCCCTCTTCTCGCCCTTCTCTCCTCTCGCTCCTCTCTCTCCTCTCTTTTCTCGCTCCTCTCTTTTCTCGCACCTCTCTCTTCTCGCTCCTCTCTCTTCTCGCTCCTCTCGTTCATCTTTCTTCTCGCTCCTCTCGCTCTCTTCTCGCTCCTCTTGCTCCTCTCTCTTCTCGCTACTCTCTCTCCCCTCTTCTTACTCCTCTCTCTTCTCGCTCCTGTCTCTTCTCGCTCCTCTCTCTCCTCTCTTTTCTCGCTCCTCTCTCTTCTCGCCCCTCTCTCTTCTCGCACCACTCTCTTCTCGCTCCTTTCTCCTCTCGCTCTTCTCTCTTCTCGCTCCTCTGGCTCCTCTCTCTTCTCGCCCTTCTCTCTTCTCGCTCCTCTCTCTCCTCTCTTTTCTCGCTCCTCTCTCTTCTCGCTCCTCTCTCCGCTCTCCTCTCGCTCCTCTCTCTTTTCTCGCGCCTCTCTTTTGTCGCTCCTCTCTTTTCTCGCTCCTTTCTCTCCTCTCGCTCCTCTCTCTTCTCGCTCCTCTGGCTCCTCTCTCTTCTCGCCCTTCTCTCTTCTCGCTCCTCTCTCTCCTCTCTTTTCTCGCTCCTCTCTCTTCTCGCTCCTCTCTCCGCTCTCCTCTCGCTCCTCTCTCTTTTCTCGCTCCTCTCTTTTCTCGCTCCTTTCTCTCTTCTCGCCCCTCTCGCGCCTCTCTTTTCTCGCTCCTCTCTCTTCTCGCTCCTCTCGCTCATCTCTCTTCTCGCTCCTCTCACTCCTCTCTCTTCTCGCTCCTCTCGCACCTCTCTCTTCTCGCTCCTCTCACTCCTCTCTCTTCTCGCACCTCTCTCTTCTCGCTCCTCTCTCTCCTCTCATTTCTCGCTCCTCCCTCTTCTCGCTCCTCTCGCTCATCTCTCTTATCGCACCTCTCGCTCCTCTCTCTTCTCGCTCCTCTCGCACCTCTCTCTTCTCGCTCCTCTCTCTCCTCTCTTCTCGCCCTTTTCTCTTCTCGCTCCTCCCTTTTCTCGCTCCTCTCTCCGCTCTTTTATCACTCCTCTCTCTCCTCTATTTTCTCGCTCCTCTCTGTTCTCGCGCTTCTCTTTTCTCGCTCCTCTCTATCCTCTCTTCTCGCTCCTCTCTCTTCTCGCTCCTCTCTTCTCGAGGAGCGAGAGGATCGAAAAAAAAGAGGGGCGAGAAAAGAGAGGAGCGAGAAAAGGGAGGAGCGAGAGGAGCGAGCAAAGAGAGGAGTGAGAAAAGAGAGGAGCGAAAAGTTTGAAAAAAAAAGAGGGGCGACAAAAGAGAGGAGCGAGAAAAGAGAGGAGCAAGAAAAGGGAGGGGTGAGAGGAGCGAGAGAAAAGAGAGGAGAGAGAGGAGCGAGAAAAGAGAGGGACGAAAAAAGAGAGGAGCGAGAAACGGGAGGTGCGAGAGGAGCGAGGAAAGAGAGGAGCGATAAAAGAGAGGAGAGAGAAAAGAGAGCAGCGAGAAAAAAGAGGAGCGAGAAAAGAGAGGAGCGAGAAAAGAGAGGGCGAGAGGAGCAATAAGAGCGTACAGAGTAGCGAGAAAAGAGAGTGGCGAGAGAAGCGAAAAAAAAGCGGAAAGAGGTGCGAGAAAAGGTAGGAGCGAGAAAAGGCAGGCGCGAGAAAAGAGAGGAGCGAGAAAAGGGAGGAGCGAGAAAAGGGAGGTGCGAGAAAAGGGAGGTGCGAGAAAAGGGAGGTGCGAGAAAAGAGAGGTGCAAGAAAAGAGAGGAGCGAGAAAAAAGAGGAGCGAGAAAAAAGAGGAGCGAGAAAAGGCAGGTGCGAGAAAAGGGAGGAGCCAGAAAAGGGAGGAGCCAGAAAAGAGAGGAGCCAGAAAAGAGAGGAGCCAGAAAAGAGAGGCGCGAGAACAGAGTGTAGAGAGCAGCGAGAAGGGCAAGAAAAGAGAGGAGCGAGAAAAGGGAGGGGTGAGAGGAGTGAGAAAAGGGAGGAGCGAGAGGAGAGAGAAAAGAGAGGAGAGAGAGGAGAGAGAAAAGAGAGGCGCGAGAGGTGCGAAATAAGAGAGGATTGATAAAAGAGCGTAGAGAGGAGCGAGAAAAGAGAGTGGCGAGAGGAGCGAGAAAAGAGCGAAGAGAGGAGCGAGAAAAGGGAGGAGCGAGAAAAGGGAGGAGCGAGAAAATGGAGGCGCGAGAAAAGGGAGGGGCGAGAAAAGAGAGGCGCGAGAAAAGAGAGGTGCGAGAAAAGGGAGGGGCGAGAAAAGAGAGGCGCGAGAAAAGAGAGGAGCGAGAAGAGAGAGGGGCGAGAAGAGTGAGAGTTGCGAGACGAGAGAGGAGCAAGAAAAGAGAGGAGCGAGAAAAGGGAGGTGCGAGAAAAGGGAGGAGCGAGAGGATCGAGAAAAGAGAGGAGCGAGAGGAGCAAGAAGAGAGAGGAGTGAGAGGAACGAGAAGAGAGAGGAGCGAGAAAAGAGAGGTGCGAGAAAAGAGAGGGGCGAGAAAAGGGAGGAGCGAGAAAAGGGAGGAGCGAGAAAAGGGAGGAGCGAGAAAAGGGAGGTGCGAGAAAAGGGAGGAGCGAGAGGATCGAGAAAAGAGAGGAGCTAGAGGAGCAAGAAGGGAGAGGAGTGAGAGGAGCGAGAAGAGAGAGGAGCGAGAAAAGAGAGGAGCGAGAAAAGAGAGGAGCGAGAAAAGGGATCGGCGAGAGGAGCGAGAAAAGAGAGGGGCGAGAAAAGAGAGGAGCGAGAAAAGAGAGGAGCGAGAAAAGATAGGAGCGAGAAAAAAGAGGTGCGTGAGGATCGAAAAAAGAGAGGCGCGATAAAAGAGCGTAGAGAGGAGAGAGAAAAGAGAGTGGCAAGAGGAGCGAGAAAAGAGCAAAGAGAGGAGCGAGAAAAGGGAGGAGCGAGAAAAGGGAGGTGCGAGAAAAGGGAGGGGCGAGAAAAGAGAGGCGCGAGAAAAGAGAGGAGCGAGAGGAGCGAAAAAAGAGAGGAGCGATAAAAGAGCGTAGAGAGGAGCGATAAAAGAGCGTAGAGAGGAGCGAGAAAAGAGAGTGGCGAGAAAAGAGCGTAGAGAGGAGCGAGAGGGGCCAGAAAAGAGAGGAGCAAGAAAACGGAGGGGTGAGAGGAGCGAGAGAAAAGAGAGGAGAGAGAGGAGCGAGTAAAGAGAGGAGCGAGAAAAGAGAGGAGCGAGAAAAGAGAGGAGCGAGAAAAAAGAGGAGCGAGAAAAGAGAGGGGCGAGAAAAGAGCGTAGAGAGGAGCGAGAGGGGCGAGAAAAGAGAGGAGCGAGAAAAGGAAGGAGCGAGAAAAGGGAGGAGCGAGAAAAGAGAGGAGCGAGAAAAGGGAGGTGCAAGAGGAGCGAGGAAAGAGAGGAGCGAAAAAAGAGAGGAGAGAGAAAAGAGAGGCGCGAGAAAAAAGAGGAGCGAGAAAAGAGAGGTGCGAGAAAAGAGAGGGCGAGAGGGGCGATAAAAGAGCATACAGAGTAGCGAGAAAAGAGAGTGGCGAGAGGAGCGAGAAAAAAGCAAAGAGAGACGCGAGAAAAGAGAGGAGCGAGAAAAGGGAGGTGCGAGAAAAGGGAGGAGCGAGAGAATCGAGAAAAGAGAGGAGCGAGAGGAGCAAGAAGAGAGAGGAGTGAGAGGAGCGAGAAGAGAGAGGGGCAAGAAGAGAGAGGAGCGAGAGTTGCGAGACGAGAGAGGAGCGAGAAGAGAGAGGAGCGAGAAAAGAGAGGAGCGAGAAAAGGGAGGTGCGAGAAAAGGGAGGAGCGAGAGGATCGAGAAAAGAGAGGAGCGAGAGGGGCAAGAAGAGAGAGGAGTGAGAGGAACGAGAAGAGAGAGGAGCGAGAAAAGAGAGGTGCGAGAAAAGAGAGGTGCCAGAAAAGAGAGGAGCGAGAAAAGAGAGGAGCGAGAAAAGGGAGGAGCGAGAAAAGGGAGGAGCGAGAGGATCGAGAAAAGAGAGGAGCTAGAGGAGCAAGAAGAGAGAGGAGTGAGAGGAGCGAGAAGAGAGAGGAGCGAGAAAAGAGAGGAACGAGAAAAGAGAGGGGCGAGAAAAGAGAGGAGCGAGAGGAGCGAGAAAAGAGAGGAGCGAGAAAAGGGATCGGCGAGAGGAGCGAGAAAAGAGAGGAGCGAGAGGCGCGAGAAAAGAGAGGAGCAAGAAAAGAGAGGTGCGTGAGGAGCGAAAAAAGAGAGGATCGATAAAAGAGCGTAGAGAGGAGAGAGAAAAGAGAGTGGCGAGAGGAGCGAGAAAAGAGCAAAGAGAGGAGCGAGAAAAGGGAGGAGCGAGAAAAGGGAGGTGCGAGAAAAGGGAGGGGCGAGAAAAGAGAGGCGCGAGAAAAGAGAGGAGCGAGAGGAGCGAAAAAAGAGAGGAGCGATAAAAGAGCGTAGAGAGGAGCAATAAAAGAGCGTAGAGAGGAGCGAGAAAAGAGAGTGGCGAGAAAAGAGCGTAGAGAGGAGCGAGAGGGGCCAGAAAAGAGAGGAGCAAGAAAACGGAGGGGTGAGAGGAGCGAGAGAAAAGAGAGGAGAGAGAGGAGCGAGTAAAGAGAGGAGCGAGAAAAGAGAGGAGCGAGAAAAGAGAGGAGCGAGAAAAAAGAGGAGCGAGAAAAGAGAGGGGCGAGAAAAGAGCGTAGAGAGGAGCGAGAGGAGCGAGAAAAGAGAGGAGCGAGAAAAGGAAGGAGCGAGAAAAGGGAGGAGCGAGAAAAGAGAGGAGCGAGAAAAGGGAGGTGCAAGAGGAGCGAGGAAAGAGAGGAGCGAAAAAAGAGAGGAGAGAGAAAAGAGAGGCGCGAGAAAAAAGAGGAGCGAGAAAAGAGAGGTGCGAGAAAAGAGAGGGCGAGAGGGGCGATAAAAGAGCATACAGAGTAGCGAGAAAAGAGAGTGGCGAGAGGAGCGAGAAAAAAGCGAAGAGAGACGCGAGAAAAGAGAGGAGCGAGAAAAGGGAGGTGCGAGAAAAGGGAGGAGCGAGAGAATCGAGAAAAGAGAGGAGCGAGAGGAGCAAGAAGAGAGAGGAGTGAGAGGAGCGAGAAGAGAGAGGGGCAAGAAGAGAGAGGAGCGAGAGTTGCGAGACGAGAGAGGAGCGAGAAGAGAGAGGAGCGAGAAAAGAGAGGAGCGAGAAAAGGGAGGTGCGAGAAAAGGGAGGAGCGAGAGGATCGAGAAAAGAGAGGAGCGAGAGGGGCAAGAAGAGAGAGGAGTGAGAGGACCGACAAGAGAGAGGAGCGAGAAAAGAGAGGAGCGAGAAAAGAGAGGTGCCAGAAAAGAGAGGAGCGAGAAAAGAGAGGAGCGAGAAAAGGGAGGAGCGAGAAAAGGGAGGAGCGAGAGGATCGAGAAAAGAGAGGAGCTAGAGGAGCAAGAAGAGAGAGGAGTGAGAGGAGCGAGAAGAGAGAGGGGCGAGAAAAGAGAGGAACGAGAAAAGAGAGGGGCGAGAAAAGAGAGGAGCGAGAAAAGAGAGGAGCGAGAAAAGGGATCGGCGAGAGGAGCGAGAAAAGAGAGGAGCGAGAAAAGAGAGGAGCGAGAGGAGCGAGAAAAGAGAGGAGCAAGAAAAGAGAGGTGCGTGAGGAGCGAAAAAAGAGAGGATCGATAAAAGAGCGTAGAGAGGAGAGAGAAAAGAGAGTGGCGAGAGGAGCGAGAAAAGAGCGAAGAGAGGAGTGAGAAAAGGGAGGAGCGAGAAAAGGGAGGGGCGAGAAAAGAGAGGAGCGAGAGGAGCGAAAAAAGAGAGGTACGAGAAAAGAGAGGTACGAGAAAAGAGAGGGGCGAGAAAAGAGAGGAGCGAGAGGAGCGAGAAAAGAGAGGAGCGAGAAAAGGGATCGGCGAGAGGAGCGAGAAAAGAGAGGAGCGAGAAAAGAGAGGAGCGAGAAAAGAGAGGAGCGATAGGAGCGAGAAAAGAGAGGAGCGGGAAAAGAGAGGTGTGTGAGGAGCGAAAAAAGAGAGGAGAGAGAAAAGAGAGTGGCGAGAGGAGCGAGAAAAGAGCGAAGAGAGGAGCGAGAAAAGGGAGGAGCGAGAAAAGGGAGGTGCGAGAAAAGGGAGGGGCGAGAAAAGAGAGGCGCGAGAAAAGAGAGGAGCGAGAGGAGCGAAAAAAAGAGAGGAGCGATAAAAGAGCGTAGAGAGGAGCGAGAAAAGAGAGTGGCGAGAAAAGAGCGTAGAGAGGAGCGAGAGGGGCCAGAAAAGAGAGGAGCAAAAAAACGGAGGGGTGAGAGGAGCGAGAGAAAGAGAGGAGAGAGAGGAGCGAGAAAAGAGAGGAGCGAGAAAAGAGAGGGGCGAGAAAAGAGCGTAGAGAGGAGCGAGAGGGGCGAGAAAAGAGAGGTGCGAGAAAAGGAAGGAGCGAGAAAAGGGAGGAGCGAGAAAAGAGAGGAGCGAGAAAAGGGAGGTGCAAGAGGAGCGAGGAAAGAGAGGAGCGAAAAAAGAGAGGAGAGAGAAAAGAGAGGAGCGAGAAAAAAGAGGAGCGAGAAAAGAGAGGTGCGAGAAAAGAGAGGGCGAGAGGAGCGATAAAAGAGCATACAGAGTAGCGAGAAAAGAGAGTGGCGAGAGGAGCGAGAAAAAAGCGGAGAGAGATGCGAGAAAAGAGAGGAGCGAGAAAAGGGAGGTGCGAGAAAAGGGAGGAGCGAGAGGATTGAGAAAAGAGAGGAGCTAGAGGAGCAAGAAGAGAGAGGAGTGAGAGGAGCGAGAAGAGAGAGGAGCGAGAAAAGAGGTGCGAGAAAAGAGAGGTGCGAGAAAAGAGAGGGGCGAGAAAAGGGAGGGGAGAGAAAAGGGAGGAGCGAGAAAAGGGAGGTGCGAGAAAAGGGAGGTGCGAGAAAAGGGAGGAGCGAGAGGATCGAGAAAAGAGAGGAGCGAGAGGAGCAAGAAGAGAGAGGAGTGAGAGGAGCGAGAAGAGAGAGGAGCGAGAAAAGAGAGGAACGAGAAAAGAGAGGTGCGAGAAAAGAGAGGGGCGAGAAAAGGGAGGGGAGAGAAAAGGGAGGAGCGAGAAAAGAGAGGAGCGAGAAAAGGGAGAAGCGAGAAAAGGGATCGGCGAGAGGAGCGAGAAAAGAGAGGAGCGAGAAAAGAGAGGAGCGAGAAAAGAGAGGTGCGTGAGGAGCGAAAAAAGAGAGGCGCGAAAAAAGAGAGGAGCGATAAAAGAGCGTAGAGAGGAGCGAGAAAAGAGAGTGGCGAGAGGAGCGAGAAAAGAGCAAAGAGAGGAGCGAGAAAAGGGAGGAGCGAGAAAAGGGAGGTGCAAGAAAAGAGAGGAGCGAGAGGAGCAAAAAAAGAGAGGAGCGATAAAAGAGCGTAGAGAGGAGCGAGAAAAGGGAGGTGCGAGAAAAGGGAGGTGCGAGAAAAGGGAGGAGCGAGAGGATCGAGAAAAGAGAGGAGCGAGAGGAGCAAGAAGAGAGAGGAGTGAGAGGAGCGAGAAGAGAGAGGAGCGAGAAAAGAGAGGAACGAGAAAAGAGAGGTGCGAGAAAAGAGAGGGGCGAGAAAAGGGAGGGGAGAGAAAAGGGAGGAGCGAGAAAAGAGAGGAGCGAGAAAAGGGAGAAGCGAGAAAAGGGATCGGCAAGAGGAGCGAGAAAAGAGAGGAGCGAGAAAAGAGAGGTGCGTGAGGAGCGAAAAAAGAGAGGCGCGAAAAAAGAGAGGAGCGATAAAAGAGCGTAGAGAGGAGCGAGAAAAGAGAGTGGCGAGAGGAGCGAGAAAAGAGCAAAGAGAGGAGCGAGAAAAGGGAGGAGCGAGAAAAGGGAGGTGCAAGAAAAGAGAGGAGCGAGAGGAGCAAAAAAAGAGAGGAGCGATAAAAGAGCGTAGAGAGGAGCGAGAAAAGAGAGGAGCGAGAAAAGAGAGGAGCGAGAAAAGAGCGTAGAGAGGAGCGAGAGGGGCCAGAAAAGAGAGGAGCGAGAAAAGGGAGGGGTGAGAGGAGCGAGAGAAAAGAGAGGAGAGAGAGGAGCGAGAAAAGAGAGGAGTGAGAGGAGCGAGAAAAGAGAGGGGCGAGAAAAGAGCGTAGAGAGGAGCGAGAGGGGCGAGAAAAGAGAGGAGCGAGAAAAGGGAGGCGCGAGAAAAGGGAGGAGCGAGAAAAAGGAGGTGCGAGAAAAGAGAGAGGAGCGAGAAAAGAGAGGAGCGAGAAAAGAGAGAGGAGCGAGAGGAGCGAGAAAAGAGAGGAGCGAGAGGAGCTAGAAAAGAGAGGAGAGAGAGAGGAGCGAGAAAAGAGGAGAGAGAAGGGCGAGGAGAGAGAAGGGCAAGAAGAGAGAGGAGAAGAGAGAGGAGCGAGAAAAGAGAGGAGCGAGAAAAGAAAGGAGAGAGAAAAGGGAGGAGCGAGAACAGGGAGGTGCGAGAAAAGAGAGGAGCAAGAAAAGAGAGGTGCGAGAAAAGAGAGGAGCGAAAAAAAGATGCGCGAGAAAAGAGAGGAGCGAGAAAAGAGAGGAGCGAAAGGATCGAAAAAAAGAGGGGCGAGAAAAGAGAGGAGCGAGAAAAGAAAGGAGAGAGAGGAGCGAGAAAAGAGAGGGGCGAGAAGAGAGAAGGGCGAGAAGAGAGAAGGGCGAGAAAAGACAGGAGCGAGAGGAGCGGGAAAAGAGAGGAGCAAGAAAAGAGCGTAGAGAGGAGCGAGAGGGGCCAGAAAAGAGAGGCGCGAGAAAAGGGAGGGGTGAGAGGAGCGATAGAAAAGAGAGGAGAGAGAGGAGCGAGAAAAGAGAGGAGCGAGAAAAGAGAGGAGCGAGAAAAGAGAGGAGAGAGAGGAGAGAGAAAAGAGAGGCGCGAGAGGAGCGAAAAAAGAGAGGAGCGAGAGGAGCAATAAAAGAGCGTAGAGAGGAGCGAGAAAAGAGAGTGGCGAGAGGAGCGAGAAAAGAGAGGATCCAGAAAAGAGAGGAGCGAGAAAAGGGAGGAGCGAGTGCAGTGCATTCCTTCAAATATAAGGACGTTTCAATGTGACCCCAAACTTTTGAATGGTAGTGTATATATTTATTTAAATATATAAATAATGAAAGCTAAATAAGGCTGGCTGAGTCCTCCTGTCACAAAAGAAAAACTACACTAGATCTGACCGGAGTCATAAACTATCTTCTGCTCGAGAGCACTTGCCCGTTGTAAGTGTTTAGTCACACTTCATACATTTTTTTCCTGGGTGGACTGTAAACACTTTGATTACCACAAGTGGGTAAGCCCTCTGTAGTTCAGCCATGGCACTGGCATCAGTTGTAAGCATTTTTTGGCCTGAAATGCATTTTATCAGAAGTCCGCAAAGCAGTTTTCCACATCAAATAATCTTACAACTTATCTTTTCATAATTTATTTTTTTGTGAGGACTCCAGTGTCTAATGACAGGACAAAAAGCTGGCATGTGCCTCAAGAGAAGCTCGGCGGACACTGTTCAGCAACAACATTTAGTTCTTTAGCATTTCCACTCATTTGTCTTTAACCACTGATGTATCACTGTCTGCTATCAACTTAATAAAATATATTGAAATTTGTTATTAAATAATGCAAGGTTTTCAAGGCTGCAGCTCCTCCATCCACACCCATACTGCGTCTGCTTCTGAACTACCGTTTGTTACCATAAGAAAAGCTTCCTGCTAAAAGATGTTTTGATTTACACAGAAGAAGTTGAACAAACACACGCGGTAATTGCTGAGTCAATGTGAGATGCTGGTTAAATATTGATAAGTGTCTAAGAGGCCCATCAGGCACTATTGACAGATCAGAGACAGACAGTGCTGTCGAGCTCAGACCCAAGCAGGACTGATGCAGCTGCTGCTTTGTCCTGCAGGTTATACTTTCTTCTTGAAATGGCCACTTTGCCAACAACCTTTCTAACCCACAAGCTGTACAGATGTTTAGACAGTTTGCAATACAATGTTATGGTATAATATAGGTTCCCAATTGGTAAACATCTATCCAGTTCTGTGAGTTTAGGGTGAGGCTTATAAGAGCAAATGAGGAAGGACTTTGGCCCTAATTATCATGCTGCGAAACATGCTGCGTCGGTGAAATGTGTTTGCAACAAGCACAACCTCAGCCTGCTTATAGCAGCTACTTCCTGACACTCTCAATCAGCTTGACTGATTGGATCCCAGGCCACTCCCAAACCCTGATTGGCAGTTTAATGGCAAGAACAGAGCAGAGATGCAGGCCCTGGGTCGTTTGGGTGCTGAGAAATCTAAAGTTGTTTTAGTGATGTTTTAAAGTGTTTGTGGAGAGCCGTTTGTCTGCTGGAACACAGAGGTACACTGGGAAATATTCATCCGTAATAATCTGTCGGCCTTTTCTCCGGCTTCTCCAAAACTGTCACATCCATCAAGATTAGGAGCCTGGTGCAGCCCAATGCTTCTTTAAAATGAATCAATCTGAGGCAGCGGCTGCAGCGACTGTCCAGGAAACACAGTCTGACAAATATTCAGGGCTCATACAAACGTCTGATTACAGCAGGCAGTGATCCATCTTCTGCAGAGCCATGTGTGCATTCTTTTCTATTGGCCGATAACAGCTTTGCCACTGGAGATGGGCTCTTATCTGATGCCTGAATCGTGGATACAGACAGCCTCGCCTCAATTATAAATCATAATGAAGTGGCTTAAATATGCCGTTTGTAAACCACCTCAAGACTTTGATACTGACAGCTTTTATCAGCTAACAGTCATGTTTTGTTTATTATAACTAATTGTTTTATGATTAATTGGGACTCTATCATTATTTATCCGGCCGCACACAAATTCCTAATAGACTTAATTGTTTGTAATCAGATAATTAAAAAAGCTTTTCATCCTGGAGGCTGATCTTGTAAAATGGCTTTGATGTGAGCTATATGAATGTTACCTTTAGGGCATAAAAATGTAGATGATATTATGATGAGACAGAGCTTCATGTGCAGTTTGCGTCTCAGTCTCAATATATCAGAGAATATTTTTCATCAATAGGTGACATTCAAATACTATCACATTATATTCATCTCTTTCCTACCAATAGCTAAACATTGAACTGGGGGAAATACAGTGCCTTGCAAAAGTATTCGGCCCCCATGAGCCTTTCAACATTTTGCCACATTTCAGGCTTCAAACATAAAGATATAAAATTTAAATTTTTTGTCATGAATCAACAACAAGTGGGACACAATCGTGAAGTGGAACTAAATTTATTGGATAATTTAAACTTTTTTAACAAATAAAAAACTGAACAGTGGGGCGTGCAATATTATTCGGCCCCTTTACTTTCAGTGCAGCAAACTCAGTCCAGAAGTTCAGTGAGGATCTTTGAATGATCCAATGTTGTCCTAAATGACTGATGATGATAAATAGAATGCACCTGTGTGTGATCAAGTCTCCGTATAAATGCACCTGCTCTTTGATAGTCTCAGGGTTCTGTTTAAAGCACAGAGAGAACCATGAAGACAAAGGAACACACCAGGCAGGTCCGAGATACTGTTGTGGAGAAGTTTAAAGCCAGATTTGGATACAAAAAGATTTCCCAAGCTTTAAACATCTCAAGGAGCACTGTGCAAGCAATTATATTGAAATGGAAGGAGTATCAGAGGAAAAGGAAAAGACTGATCAGAGATGCAGCCAAGAGGCCCATGATCACTCTGGATGAACTGCAGATAACTACAGCTGAGGTGGGAGAGTCTGTCCATAGGACAACAATTAGTCGTGCACTGCACAAATCTGGCCTTTATGGAAGAGTGGCATTTCTCAAAGATATCCATAAAAAGTCTCGTTTAAAGTTTTCCACAAGCCACCTGGGAGACACACCAAACATGTGGAAGAAGGTGCTCTGGTCAGATGAAACCAAAATCAAACTTTTTGGCCACAATGCAAAACGATATGTTTGGCGTAAAAGCAACATAGCTCATCACCCTGAACACACCATCCCCACTGTCAAACATGGTGGTGGCAGCATCATGCTTTGGGCCTGCTTTTCTTCAGCAGGGACAGGGAAGATGGCTAAAATTGATGGGAAGATGGATGGAGCCAAATACAGGACCATTCTGGAAGAAAACCTGTTGGAGTCTGCAAAAGACCTGAGACTGGGACGGAGATTTATCTTCCAACAGGACAATGATCCAAAACATAAAGCCAAATCTACAATGGAATGGTTCACAAATAGACGTATCCAGGTGTTAGAATGGCCAAGTCAAAGTCCAGACCTGAATCCAATCGAGAATCTGTGGAAAGAGCTGAAGACTGCTGTTCACAAACGCTCTCCATCCAACCTCACTGAGCTCCAGCTGTTTTGCAAGGAAGAATGGGCAAGAATTCCAGTCTCTTGATGTGCAAAACTGATAGAGACATACCCCAAGCGACTTGCAGCTGTAATTGCAGCAAAAGGTGGCGCTACAAAGTATTAGCGCAAGGGGGCCGAATAATATTGCACACCCCACTTTTCAGTTTATTTGTTAAAAAAGTTTAAATTATCCAATAAATTTCGTTCCACTTCACGATTGTGTCCCACTTGTTGTTGATTCTTGACAAAAATTGTAATTTTTATATCTTTATGTTTGAAGCCTGAAATGTGGTGAAATGTTGAAAGGTTCAAGGGGGCCGAATACTTTCGCTAGGCACTGTAATTGCATGGAGGTATTAGCTGTTTTCGACATGGTTTACATCTCCATTATAGCACAGTAAAGCCATTTTAATACATACATACTATACAGATACATTTTAACGTCACTTACAGACTTGCCTTCTTTGAACATGTTCAGATTGAGATAAAATTGCACATTGAGGAATGATGTCATATTTCATTTTTAAATGTAGACAAAACACATAACTTTTACTTTCAAATATTTAAGTTTAAAAAAACTGTAATTCCACACAGGTCTAACTGCAGACGCTGCCCCCTCTTCACCACAAAAGTCTGATAGAGCTCTGACTGCAAACGCTGCCCCCTCTTCACCACAACAGTCTGATACAGCTCTGACTGCAGACGCTGCTCCCTCTTCACCACAACAGTCTGATACAGCTCTGACTACAGACGCTGCTCCCTCTTCACCATAACAATCTGATGCAGCTCTGACTGCCCACACTGAGAATCATTTTTTTTTTCCACTTGGGGAAGAACCTCTCCACCTGGAGAGGGCAAGGCACATTATTCCGGTCGAGCACCATGGTCTCAGATTTGGGGGTGCTGATTCTCATCACAGCCCCTTCACTCTCATAGCAGCAAACCCTCCCAGTGCTTGTCTGGGTCAGATCCCTCTCAATGCGGGCCTCCTTGAGGTTTCTCACTTTTTCCTGTGTTTTTGAGTTGTTTCTTGTTGGTCTTGATTTGTTGATGCGAACAAGAACAAATTGTCTACAAATAGTAGAGATTAAATCCTGTGGTCCCCAAAACGGACTTCCTCCAGCCCCTGGCTGCGCTAAGAAATTCTGTCCATAAAGCAGTAAACAGAACCAGTGACAAAGGGTAGCCTTGGCAAATTTTGACCTATGGCTGGTAAAGGGAAAACAACTCTGACTTTGGTTATACAGGGACTGGACGCTCGAGGCAAACCCCCAAGAAACACCCCTGGGAACACTCAAACGTCAAATGCCTCCTCCAGATCCACAAAGCACATATGAACAGGTTGGGAGAACGCCCATGTTGGGGGCTCATCTGCAGTCTCACTAGT